GGGATCTCATCAAATGTTTTTATAGACTAGGGTGCCAAAGTGGCCACCCAGTCCCAGGCTTCTTTCCTGAGCGTCGAGGAAAAAGACCGACACATCACTGCATACGGGGCTACATGGAGTCTCATTAAATCAACGAAGGTTCTCAGGTGGTTAAGTAGATTCGTGACTTCATCGTATGCCTCTATCATTGGTTGTTTGAAGCCTTTCGGTAGAGGAACCGCCATGATCTCGGGCGCAAATGGGTCTTCTTCCAAAACTACATGCCTGGCCTGTCATTTCTCTTAAATAATGCATCGTCTATCTTCTAGGCCATCATTTCCTCCATCTTTCTTTCCAAGTTTATAATAGGTCGGGAAAACTAAGGAATTGCAACCTCTGTAGCCCCAAGTCTCCTATTGCTAGCTGAATAACGTGTGGAATAATCATTTGTGCCACTAAGGTGGTTGATCGCGTATGACTTCGGCAGGTTCTGTGGTGGGACTGCAGCTCTTTGCGATTGACTTTGCAGTATGGTCATCACGGCTGCCAACTAAGTTTTCAGAATACTGGATTGGCTTTACGTCACATACTGCGGCTGCAGTGGCTCGTCATGACCCCTTGCAACGGACTCCGACTCCGTCTCTACTGTATTCCTGACCATGCGCATTTTACTCCTAGTTCTTTTCCTTGACACAACTATTTTGTTCAGTGGTTTCCCACATAGGGAGCTAATGAAATTGTTAAGAATCAAGCATCTGTGGCCTCTGGAGGTGCAAGGTAATTCTGCTGCTCTGATGAGCAAATTCTACCTGCGAAATGAGGTTGGAGATTTCTCCACCGTTTTACCTTCGGTGTGAGAATTAGTGAAAGATTCAAGATTATAATATTAGGAAGAAAAGATCAAATGAGTATTCAAATAGCCTGGGTCTCTTGAACCATACATGTCTTGCCTTATGAATATTTATAGGTGTTTGAGTAGTCTTCTCCTTTTGAACATAGTAGACAATTGTTGTTGCCTCTAATATCAATATAGTTGATAAATTAATTTCCTTTCAAAATTCAATAATAGGTAGTTTTAAAATGTTTTAGCCCTTCCACCTCCGTATAATTTAGCCCCTGTTTGGAGGGGATTAAAATCAAATTTTCAATAGATTTCGATAAAAGTTGATGAAATGTATGGTTGAAAATTTGTGGGACCTGTAAAATATGTAATTTAAATTAATTGTTGACTTTGATTTAGATTAAAATCTGAACTTTAATTTCTAACAAACATGGGCTTAGTAATTGTGTTTGTGCAATCCTCTAACAATTTTTAGCATTCTTGTCTCTTTTTATGCCTGTCTCATGAATTACATACGTTGTGAGTTCTAATTGAATTGCATTAGTTGCTTTACTTTCCTACGGGAAAAAACCATATTTCCTTGTGTATATACTCTCTCCTTTATTTTAGTATACAATATTAGGGGTTCTATTAGAATGTTATAGAAATTTTCGTAAAATTCTATGTTCTATTGATGGCTTTGTTTTTGGTCAGATATTTAACTAGGTTTGTCAGAAATAACAAGGATAGCTCGCCAACTGTTTAAAACTCCAATGTTTTCTTTTGTGGAATGCCATCATAATCTTTCATTTTGACGCAAAATATATCCCAACGTCGCGGAATATAAGGGCATGTTCTCTTTACCATTTTCAAACCGTCTTCTGTATTCAATTTTTTCAAAACAGTGAAAACGTGTTCTCTTTCCTATTTTCGAAAACGCGTTTTTGAAAACAAGTTAAAAATTTACAAAGAAAACCCTAACCGACAAATTTGTCATTTTGGGTGTTTTCAGTTATAATCAAGCCAAAATTTTCAAAACTCATTTTGGGTGTTTTCANGCTATAGATATTTTAATTTGCCTTCTACACGTGGGTTTATGGTTTCGAGTATAATATAATAACTTATATTACATAGAAATTTCAATTAAAAAAATAGAAGACATAAACTATAAATTCTCCTGATGTATCATTAAACTTTTAAAGCACGTTTAGAAAAACTACTATATATAAAATAGTGAAAAAGAGTTATATGATCAATTGTCATATTTAAAACAACAGTTATGTATGATCCAAAAGTGAGACTTTATCGGATTAGCCATTTGCATAAGCTTGATTAGGTGGATTAAATGGGTTGCAAGTAGGGATGGAGCTACTCCATCGAAGTAGGGGGTCCCAGAATTGGCTGTCCCCAAATTTTTTTGAAACTTTATCTATTAAAATGAGGGAAGTTAGTACTTTGTGATGGAAAAAGGAAACAAAGGAACATAAATTAATGTTTATTATTAACAAAAAAAAATCGAGAAACGTATAAAAGAAAGTACTAATTTTTAATTTAACAAAATCGCTGCTCCAAATTTTTTTTTTAAACATCATCATTTAAAATAATGGAAGTTGGTACTTTGTGATGGAGAAAGGAAACAAATGTACATAAATTAATGTACATTATTAACAAAAAAATCAAGAAGAGTATAAAAGAAAGTACTAATCTTTAATTTAGTAAAATCATATCTTATTACAAACATTCCTTTCGAATTTAAGTTTTTGAATTGGTAGGGTTCAATTTTTTTATTCATTTGAGGACAAAATGGTAAATATAAAAAATAAAATTTTAAAATAAAAAAAACTGTCAAAAAATTGGGAGGGTCCTGGTCTACCCCACGACCCCCCTCCCTCCACCCTTGGTTGCAAGGGAGGGACGAAGCTCTTGCCTTTAAATACAGTATCATTAAAATAAATCGATTTTTTAAAACTAATGGAATCTTATAAACTGTAAATACATTTGTAATTATTTAAAAGACTTTTATCTGTCCAATAACATAGTAACGTAATTAAAACACATTATCGTGAAAATAAATTGAATTTTTCAAATTGACGAGGTTGTGTACATTGTAATAACGTTTGCTATTTGTACTTTTATCTTTTACATTTAGCTCTACAAATACTATTTCTCCAGTTGTTATTGGTAATTTTCACGGCATTATAAAAATATCTTTCACAATATAGTACATTGATTTCTTTTAATATTTTCAATGAAAACGGATCATAAATTTAAAACATTTTGAAAAAGTATAATAGTGATACCCAATGCGATCATAGTAGTAAATTACACTTCAATAATTTTGATATCGTACAACGGTTTTTTTATATATATACAAAATCGCCATAAATTAAACCTTACTCGTGATTGAAACTACAATATGTATATATGATTTGACAAGGAGTTAGAAATCTTTGGAACATACTTAGACCATAATGATTCTCTTTTAGTTAGGTTAAAATTAAAACCATATATTTTCATAACCAGTGAATGACTACATTTTTTTTAATTATATCTTTATATTCGACCACACAAATTTTGTGTTTTTTTATCATTTCTTTTGTTTTTCCAGGAAATGAAATAAGAAAAAAATTAGTACATCCATCATAGACTCGACTACATATCTCTATAAATAGATAGAAAAAAAATTGAACAAAATTTGATGATGGAAGGAGATATGCTTTCAATTTTATTCTTTTTGCTTTGAATTTTTAACCTATTTCCCACATGGGACACTTAATTTAGACAAGTCTATGATTACTTTGAAAGTTTTGTGGTGCATAATGTAATTCTCTAAAGTTAAGTGCAAGAAATATAAATACAAAAAAGGGGGGAAAACTCAAAAAGTGTTTGGTGAAACTGTCCTTCCCGCAAAAATGCAAAGACCAACATTGCACTGACCTAAACAAATCAAAAATTTGCCAATTGGGAACCACGTGCCTTTTGAACTGCCACGAAAAATTAATCTAACGGTTTGAAACCTCATCTGTTTTGTGGAAAAAAACCTCAAACAATTCGAAAATAAGCAACAACAAGAAGAAAAAAAAATTTAACAAATTTTTGTGGGGGAGGGGGCGGTTCTGGGTAGAAAGAATATGCCATTTTATAAAAGATGGTTCCTTGCAGACATTCTGGGAAATATGCCAATTCGTTTCTCAATCACCCACTTTAGCATACCCACATGCCTATTTTCTTTTATTCGTTACTCTCTTTCCTCTTCCTTCATTCAGGTAACTATCTCTCTATATTATATTTAGGCTATAGATACAATTTTTTTTTTTTTAATTATGATCTTGTATAAAATTTGTCTGTATTTATGTTTCGATCTTTATGAGAAGTATTAAATATTGTCTTAGAGTTGAATGTGTTGCTTTTTGAATGTGATGATGGGGCTTTCAAATGTGGTGGTGTGAAGAAAATTAGAAAAACTCAAGTTCTGTGACTTTACTTTTCTGCAAATCCTAATTTGTGCCAATTCGATTCTTGAATTTATAATCAGTTTGCTGGTAGTACCACAAAGTTGATTTTTTCGATTAAGTTGTTGATTGGTTTAATATTTACAGTGGTTTTATTAATGCATTTTCTTTCCCTTGTTAAATAATATGAGTATTGCTTTCTAGTCTTTTACTTTTGTAATTTTTTCATTTTAGGATTAATCATAATGTTTGATGAATAAGTAGTGAGTATTACTCTTGGGAGATTTTAGCATCCATTTAGTTCAGTTCTATAGGACAGCGTCCGAAATGATTTTCTTGATAAGTGGGAAAAAATGAAAAACTTTGCTAGCAATGTATGTTTTTGGTGTGGATTAGCTGAGAAAAAAATGTAAGGCTCAGATTTTGGTGATTCTTTGTTTATGACAGTTTTATGTTTGAATTACAAATTATTTGGCACTATATAATAAAGGTTCTATATCAAAATCGAATGTTTGACATTCATGGCATGTTTTGTAAGGAGATAGGATAGACTTAAATAATATTGCGTAAGAAATAGAAACTAAAATCTGCATTTCTAAACATGCACTGAATATATGCTTCTTCATGTTTCATTCTTTGGTTTCTGGATCCAGGACGCTCTCTGACTCTGTTGTGCATTTGATGGTTAAGTGGAGACATTAGCTAAACTTTTATATCAAGTGAAGTGACTCAAATACCGAGATTGAACAATGGGGTCTGACAAGCAGCCTGTCGGTTTGCTAGATACTCTAAATATGGAGGCAGTTCGGACAATTTTCACTCACACGTATCCCTATCCCCACCAACATTCAAGGCATGCTGTTATTGCTGTCTTCGTGGGCTGCCTGTTTTTCATATCATCTGACAATATGCACACTCTTATTCAGAAGTTAGACAGCAATGTTAAATGGTGGTCCATGTATGCCTGTTTGCTCGGTTTCTTCTATTTCTTTTCATCTCCATTTATAGGGAAAACAATAAAACCAAGCTATTCAAATTTCAGCCGCTGGTAGGTTTATATTTCTTCTAACAAACACTCTTTCGTTTATTGCTATAGGACTAGCAAGATTGAGCTAATGAACTATGCTAATTCAGGGGTTTTCATTTTGCAGGTACATAGCATGGATATTAGTGGCTGCTCTCTACCATCTTCCCAGCTTCCAATCTATGGGAGTAGATATGAGGATGAACCTCTCTTTGTTTTTGACAATTTTTGTCTCTTCCATTTTATTTCTTCTCTTTTTCCATGTTATATTTTTGTGCCTCTGGTATGTTGGCCTTGTTGCTCGTGTGGCTGGAAAGAGACCGGAACTTCTAGCAATTCTTCAAAATTGTGCTGTAAGTCCCGAGAACACATCTTCACTGAAATGAAACATTCCCAGCACTTATTTTATGGCACCATTTTGTGTAGGTTATAAGTGTAGCCTGTTGTGTATTTTATAGCCACTGTGGCAACCGTGCTATTATGAAAGAAAAGGCATTTGACCGGAGAAACTTGGGCTGGTTTACACTGTGGAACAAGGGAGAACGTGACTCATGGCTTGCAGACTTTGTTCGCATGAGTGAGTTGAAAGATCAAGTTTGCTCGTCTTGGTTCGCTCCTGTTGGGTCTGCTAGTGATTATCCATTTTTGTCCAAATGGGTCATTTATGGAGAAGTATGATTTCTGCTATTATTATGTGATGTATTTCTTATTTAACATTGTAAATATCTTATGATGCTGCAACTTTTGTTTCTTTTCAATTTTGCATTTCAGTTGACTTGTAGCGGCTCGTGTGCAGAATCTCCAGATGAAATTTCTCCCATATATTCCTTATGGGCCACTTTTATAGGACTCTACATTGCGAATTACGTTGTGGGAAGATCAACGGGGTGAACGTTTGCAGCTGCCTTGTCTTTAAGTTTATATATTTTTCTTTTTGCTAGTGGACCGTCATTTACTTATCCTATTCTATATATTTCTATTTTTCCTGCTTACTGTATACAATGTTGAGGGACCAGTATGCGAAGAAAAGTAATCTATTTCTCACCTTGTCAATTTCATCTCTCTTTCTCTCTCTCTCAAATTAATCTTTGGCTATATTTATTTTTTGTGCTTGAGAAACATATAGTCCCTAATATTGCAACTTGGAACAAATCTGTTAACATTTCCTTCCATCCTCATTTGTTAGGTCTCATTATCTTATCAATTTAGGTACTATTTATTAACATGCAACAATCAACAGGTGGGCTCTCACTCACCCTGTGTCACAAAAAGAATTTGTGAAATTGAAGAAAAAGCAAATGAAGCCGGAATTTTTGGATATGGTTCCTTGGTACTCGGGGTAAGTCGATCTATCTCTTAGACAGATGGAAAAGTGAGGGGTTTCAGGCTATAATTCAAGACAGTTTTTGACCTACTGGTATCTGTAACTGTATTTGTTGGACGTTTTGATATGCGTATGATGCAGGTATATGTTTATTGCTGCAACTTGTGTTACTTAATCGTTCGTATTCTTTCCATCTTTTTCAGCAGTGGCAAAAGCTCCTTCCTTTATTATAAAGTTTTCATATATGAAAATTAGATTGGAAATTTTGCTATTATTTTCGAGATACTTAATGGGGAGTTATGTGCTCGCTCTAATCTTGAACTTGTAATACTAATATCTTCCTTTTGTTAGTAGATCTAGTAATGGAGGAAAAACATTTGTAATTGTATATTAAATTGTTATTGGGAATAAGGTTTAATTTATTGTCTTTATACAGTTATTTTATTATTATTATTTTTTGAAAGAACTAATCTGATGAAAAAACCCTCTGTGGACGAATATTGCTTTTTCATTGTACAAACAGTTACGGTACATCTTATATTATCTCTCATTTTTCAATTATTAGGCAGCAATGAGCAGAGTTGAAGATGGAGTTAAACATGAGGATCTTTTGTACGATCAATTTAGTGAAAAAGATGAATTGTGGTTTGATTTTATGGCTGATACTGGTGATGGTGGAAATTCTTCTTATAGTGTGGCACGGCTTCTTGCTCAGCCTTCAATTAGGGTCCGATGTAGTGATTCACTACTTACACTGCCACGTGGTAACCTGCTCCTTATTGGGGGTGATCTTGCGTAAGCAGAAAAACTTTTCTCCTTACTGTTAGTGTTTTACTCGGGTGTCCAAATAATTGGATGTCCAAGAAACATCTCTTTGCTAAGCCATAATAAAGATTATATATCTGTTTCTCTAGACAACACGGACACGCTACTGATGTGCTCTTCTGGAATTTGAATAAGCAACCTGAAGGACTATATATGTCACATGTCCTTCTATTCCAATCTAGAACATAATTAGATCAGACTGTTCATTCATTAATACTTGATCAGTATCAAAATTGTTAACATAATCCAGTAATTGAATTGATAAACATTAAAATAATAGCAGTAATTCTTCAACTAGCAACAGTTTTTCCCTATATTGGTGTGTGATTTGGTCTTTAAAGTTAACCCCTCCCTGAAGAATAGTTAGTTACAACAGTAATGCTCCATTGAATTTTCTAAGCCTCAAGTTTGAATGTACGTGCAATATTATGAACAAGAAAATTATAGACTTGTTCTCTCTCTTCTATTTCCATGATACATCTCTTCCTTGCCTTTGAAAATTATCCGAAATCTTGCTTCCCCTGGATACAGCTCATCCAATAAAACAGTTCTTGATATGGGACATAACCTGTTGAAAATTCAATTTTATTGTGATCCCCATTTATTTGCATAATTTACTGAGAAGCCTCGTTTTCTTCTCTCGGTCTGGATTTTGTACTCAATATTGTTGGACCATTTAATCTAAAAGCTTAAGTTAGCTGTTAAATGCATATCATTTAAAAATCATCTTCCACATGCCTCCACGTGTAAGCTGGATAACACGTGGGCAATTTTATTTAAGTGGGTGGCAATGAGACTTGAACCCAGGACATTTGCCTACTCTAATACCATATTGAACCACTTTATTTAAAAGTTGAAGTTGTCAAATAAGACAAAATGTATATCATTTCGATATTACCTTCTATGCAAATAGATTCATTTAGGTTATCACATACTTTTAAGTCATGTAATGCATTAAATTTAACTCGGGACACATTGACTCCTTGTTTTACTCTTGGGATGCTCAAATATCAAGCTAATCTTAATGAGATTTCCTATAATATTGAATGTTAAAGATCGTAGCTTTCTTTCCAATTCTTTACCGGATCTTTGCGCATTATGCGAATTGAACGACCCCTTCATGAATTTGAGTTGTTAGAGATTGGTGAAATTTGTATTTTTACGACTTCAACAATTTGCACACATTGCTTATACTAGAGATAATAGAATATCTTGCTTGGACAACATGTATTTATATTATTCCTCATTTCTACATGTGTTCCGTCCATGAAATTTTAGGGCTCACAACATGAATAGTTCTGTCTAAACTGTTGGATTTATAACTGGGCTAATAAATAGTATGTTATGTACTGATTTCTATTTTTTTTCTTCAGGTATCCTAATCCATCAGCTTATACATATGAGAGGCGACTTTTTCGTCCATTTGAATATGCTCTGCAGCCTCCATTCTATTACAAAGACGAGCACATAGCTGTGAACAAGCCAGAATTACCTTGTGGGGTGGCAGATCTAAAGCAATATGATGGACCACAGTGTTTTGTTATCCCAGGAAACCATGGTTGGTTTTTTCCTTAGTCCGGCTTTTTCTTAATGGCTTCCTCAGCTTCTGCTAATAATGGCAGTCCGTGTATTTAGTTCCAGCTACCGATGGTTTCACTGCATGTCACGTTCTGCATATATCTATTGCTTTTTGTTGCTATATATATATTTTATATCACACATTTACCATTTTACAGATTGGTTTGATGGGCTTCAGACTTTTATGAGGTGCATTTGTCACAAGAGCTGGTTGGGTGGGTGGTTTATGCCGCAAAAGAAAAGCTATTTTGCCCTTAAGCTTCCAAAAGGATGGTGGCTGTTTGGTCTTGATCTTGCTCTGCATTGTGATATTGATGTCTACCAATTCAAGTTCTTCTCACAATTAATAAAGGAAAAGGTGAGTGATGGAGATCTTATTAGATAGGTTTCTGTAAGTTGTAACGTTAGATTACATGCAATAATGAAATTTGGTTAAAAGAAAACCTTACTTTCAGAAGTAGAGTTGCCTAGATCTTTTGAGATAGAATTACTCGTGCTTCTCTACTTTTAAACTTCATTTTAGTTTGCTGCCAGAATGGAAGGATTGGATTATTCACAATCCAAGTGCCAATTTGTGAAAATTGTTATGAGGAAATATTGTCTTCAAGTCCTTTTCATTTTTGAAGTACTTTATGCATGAACATCCTTGTTTTCTTCAAAAAAAAAAAAAAAAATTCTCATATAGTTCAAGAGATATTATAGAGGCTGAGGGATGTTGATGGGAGGTTTAAAGTTCAAATTCTAAAACAAACTACTCACTCCAATCCATGTCTAGAATCTGCAGTGGGGTCAGACTACATGGGTGATCCATGACTCATATTCCAACAGTTTTAGTAGTCATGTTGCTACTATGCCAAAAAGTTACATGGAAGAATGGATGGTTTGGCGCTGCTTTGCTGTTTCCTCATGTAAATGCTAATTAAAATTATTGAGGCACTCTTTCAAATTTGTGCTCATCAGTAATAGGCTAAGCAAGAGCCGTGGAGCACTTACAATCATTATATCTAATTACTCACACAGAAATCTGATTTGCTTGATAAATATGATCAAGAAGCTTTAGACTGCATGAAGCATTAATGTGCACCATAAAATTGGTGCCAACTTTGTATTCTGGATTTCAGGAATACAGTTGCAAGTACTCTGAAGAAATAGATTGGTGGCTTGTGTTTAAAGCTGATATAAGCCTCCTGAAATTAATATTGAATATGAATATCGGAAATCCAGGAATTTCATGGTGCCAGGTTTATTATTCGAATTGATTTTGTTTCTACATGGTGCTCCTTGACCAGATTTCTCTGATGTTTGTTTTTCTTTTGGTTTCACTAGTATAATAATATGCCAAAAGGATTAACCTTCCAGTTTTGGTACTCTGTAATATTCGGGTTTACCTTGGGATTTAAATTTATGTTCTTTAAACATTTTTATGGTACAATTCGGTGAAGGTCCCACATTATTAAGGAGACATTCTTCAAAAGTTTTGGCTTTTGACTTATGAATGATACTTGCAAATGATTTGTTGTTAATCTTCAGTGCAATAGGCAAACTCTCTGACATTCGTGGGGCTTATCTTGTTCATATCTCTTACTTATATATTAATATTAGAGGTTGCCTATGTATCCATGCCCAAGATGTTGTGTTCAGAAGTGAAGTCTCTAGGTAGACATGGTGCTTTGACTCACAAATGAGATCTAGCCCCTTCGGTTTTCTTTGTGACATATTCTTAGTTGCAACAAAAGAAAAAGAAATGATTCGATAATATTACTCTCTGAATCTTCTAATTAGCATTGTCTTGTTAGTTGATATATTTATTAGCATATACCTTGTCTCTTGCTTTTGGCACAGTAGGCCCCAGTTGGAGGCTCCCATGACGAGCTATTAGCTTAGTGTTAGAGGTAATCTTGCATTAGCAGAATGTTTTCTTAAGCTTAATTGCTTACTAATAAATAAATTAGTAAATATTAAAATAAATCATTTTTCTGAGTGGTCAAAGTTGTAAAAGAGTATGCTACTTATTTTGACAGTAAGGTAAAAGTTATTTTCAAAATTATAATAATTTTTTTCTCTAAGAGTAAGAAAAAAAGTAATATAACCAAGCAGGTTTGAGAGCAAAACTTTACTCAAAGTAACTATCTACCTTTTACTTTATTTAAGCTTGGGCTAACCTGCTCATGTTTCTTCTTATTTTTCTTTTCCAGGTTGGAGACAATGATTCTGTGATCATTATGACGCATGAACCTAACTGGCTTCTTGATTGGTACTGGAATGATGTGACTGGGAGAAATGTTTCGCACTTGATACGTGACTATTTAAGAGGGAGGTGTAAACTTCGAATGGCTGGGGACTTGCATCATTACATGCGCCATTCATATGTTCCATCAGATAAGCCTGTTGATGTGCAACACTTGCTTGTTAATGGTTGTGGTGGCGCTTTTTTGCACCCGACTCACGTCTTTAGCAATTTCAACAATTTTTATGGCGCATCTTACGAAAGAAAAGCTTCTTATCCTTCTTTTGAAGACTCGAGCAGGGTATAGAAATTGAATAACTTTTCAACCATTCTGTGAGATCTATTTTTTCTGATATGGGGATTTCTTGCTCAATTTGGATGTGTATTATATATCACACTATCACAATTGAGAAGAGAAAGTCATTTACGCTCAATACATTTATAGAGTGAATGAGAAAGTTAAGGAATTTGGAACTGCTAATGAAAAGGGATAGAATAAATATTTGGAGAGTCAAATAAGCTTTCTGGGTATAGAGGGACTTGTACCCTCACGATTTTTAAAGTCGATGTAATTTCCTTTTTACTATAAATTTCATTGTTGCAGGTATTGACATGTAGAATGGGACTCTATCTTTATTCTCGTCCAATAAATCAGTTCTTTAATTAATTTATCAGACTATGGAGTGAATGATTTGATCAATGAATATTTGATTCATAGTTGTTGCTATTTTGTGTTGATAATTTGATACAGATTGCTCTGGGAAATATATTGAAATTCAGGAAGAAAAATTGGCAGTTTGATTTCATTGGTGGCATTATATATTTTATGTTGGCATTTTCAATGTTCCCTCAGGTAAAAGTTATGCAACGTTTTTACCGTAGATTACTTTTGATTTTGAGCATGTTTCGTGAAGCTTAGAAAAAAGTAAAAGTTAAATTTAAGTATCTTTTTTGTTTCCAAACATGTTTGTGTAAGTTACTTTTACTATTAAGCCCTTGTTTGAGCTCCATCTCAACGAGGTTTTGGGAAAAATGTATTTTTGAATAATAATTTTTTTTTTTTTGAAAATGTGTGGTTAAAAAAGAAGGAAAAGTTTTGGGTTTACGTGTAATATTATTTTATTGAAAAATGTGTGGTTGAAAAGAAGAAAGAGAAAAATGTATTAAAATTAAAATGAAACCCAAACAGGGGGCCTAAGTAAAAAGGGTTAGTTATTTTATAACTTCTACTTCAATGTCAAAATAAGCAACTTTTTTTCAACCTTAACCAATAAAAGTTTACTTATGGCAAACATGGTATGAAGAAACAAGGTATCCTAACTACATTTCTTCAAGAGCATAAATGAAAGTCCAGAAAATGATGGCTGATAAATTTTCCTCTTTTTGTAGTGTAAGCTAGATCACATCTTGGAGGATGACACATTTTCTCATCAGTTGAAGAGCTTCTTTGGTACAGTGTGGAATGCATTTATTTCTATGATAGAAGGCTCGTATGTATCCTTAGCGGGTGCCATATTATTGTTAGTAACTACTATTACATTTGTACCCTCAAAAGTTTCTCGGAAAAGGAGGGTTATAATTGGGATTCTTCATGTTTCTGCACACTTGGCTGCTTCCATGATTCTCATGTTGCTTTTGGAATTGGGAGTTGAGACATGTATCAGGCATAAATTGTTAGCAACTTCAGGTGAGAATGTGTTTCATCTGATCAATATGTTATAATTATGTGTTCTGCTAACTTCCAAAGCTGCACGAGTATTATCAACCCACATATTTATCCATTCTGCTAATGAGGTCATTTTTTAATATATTGAAATGCAATTACATAATGTGTTTCGTCTATGAATATATAATATAGAACACATTCTCAGGTAACATGGTCGAATTTTTGTCTTGGTTATTTGATCTTACAGTTAGAATAGACTGCAAAGATATTGAATTGCAGGCTTAGTAATTTAAGTTTCATCTCAGGATATCATACTTTATATGAATGGTACCAGTCAGTGGAGAGCGATCATTTTCCTGACCCAACCGGCCTTCGAGCACGTATAGAGCAATGGACATTTGGTCTTTATCCAGCATGCATCAAGTATCTCATGTCCTCTTTCGATGTTCCTGAGGTGAAAATGTTTTCTTTATAGGAATTTTTCGATGATAGTTCTTTTTTATACGTTGGTTTCCATGCCGTTCCTCTCACCTTCATTCATATGATTTATGGATTAAGCACACTGGTTGTCACTCAACTTTATTTTGTTGCGGGTTATTTCTGAACTCAAACTTTGTTACAATGTGATCACTCTGTCCGTTGTGGGAAAGGTGACATGGCAATCTTGAGTGCCAACCCAGCTTTTCTATTAGTCAAACTAATGGAACCTGTACAGAATGACAAATTGTAGCAAATTTTATTTTCCATTAATTCGACTGAAAAGGTGACATGGAAGTCTAATTATTTGCGAACTTGACTAATAAATCAACTTTTCCATGAAGTTTACCGTCATGAAATCTTGCTTGAGTTATGAGAAACACTAGTATATTTAACCCTATGATTTACAGGTAATGGCTGTTACCAGGAATAATATCTGCAAGAATGGGATGGACTCACTTTCCCGAGGAGGTGCTGTGATATATTATGCTTCCGTCTTCCTCTATTTCTGGGTTTTTTCAACTCCTATTGTGTCACTGGTCTTCGGAAGCTACCTCTATGTCTGCATTAATTGGCTTCATTTACATTTTGATGAGGCATTTTCATCACTTCGCATTGCTAACTACAAGTCATTCACACGATTCCATATTGACCACAAAGGCGATCTTGGAGTTTTCACTCTTGCAGTAGATAAGGTAAAAAAATATACGGTTCATGAATTTATGTAGATGAACTTGAGTCATCTTTTGAACAGATTTCCAGGCCCAGTGATACTGGTGTGCTTTTATTTGGCATTACGAGTCATATTTTCCCTTCTGAATCTCCATTTAGAAATGAAAAAAATGAATTAAGGGCACATTTGGTACTCAAGATTGGGCAGGATTGAACAAAAATGTTCGATATTTTAGCTTCATTATCTCCCTTCATCCTGTCCACTATTCACGAGTGAATCTTGAAATGTTTTTATTGTGGAAAAGATAGCCTAGAATTTCCTGGTTTGCTTTTTATCACTCATTTACTGGTTTGAGAACCTTGAGGCATACTCATAGTAGGCATTAGTGAAAATTATTACCTTAACTCTATTAGATGTTCAGACCATTTCCTTGAATACTCTTTAAAAGGTCATCTTGCTGAAAGTATCAAGATCTTCCATTTTTCTCATCTTGTTTTGTTTGGTATTTTGAAAAAATCCTGGCTGGTTCAAACGAAAAAAACTACGAAATAGCCTGGAAACCAGTATGGTTATAGCTTAAAAATCAAATATTAAAAAACTGGGATGAAACCTGGTAGTTTTCCAGTTGCCTGAAAACAAAAAGCACTTTTTGTTGAGCGATTGAGCCTGGACATATCTCATGCTATGTCCGGTTCAACCCCAGTTGGAACCTTGGCTCAATAGTGATAAGATGAATGCCCTGGCTCCGTTTTAAAACATTGGCGTTTGTCGTTAATCACCTTTCCAACCTCGCATGTGGATTTTGAGTCTCATTATAAATGTGTCTATGCAGGTTCCGAAGGAATGGAAACTGGATCCGAGTTGGGAAGGGGAATCGAAACAGGCACAGCACCCTAGCTACCTTAGAAAGTTTCCTAGCAAATGGCGATCCGTTTCTTCTCAGCAGGACCCTGTAAGAACTGTAAGGATTATTGACCATTTTGTTATAGAACGAACACAAAAACCTGAAACGACATCAATTCATTGATCAGTATTTTGATTTGTAACAACAGTGTAAGTGATGTTCTTTAGAAGTAGTTAAAAAAATGCAAAATATTAGGTGGGAGAGAATTTTTTTTTTTAACAAAGTAATTCTTCGTTGTTCAATGAAAACAAAGAGAAAGTGATGTTCTGGTTGTTGCCATCAAATCTCTTGCTCCTATTAAGCTCGCCTTAGTAGAAGTGGGTACTAAAACTGGGTGGATGGTCTATCTGCCCATAAGTGGTATTATCAGCCATTCTGGAGGAGGGAGCAGTTGATTCAGCAATTTCTAGTCCTGATCTATCTGGTGTTTCACAGTACGCGGTCCCAAAATCCCCTTCTTTACTCCTATTTTGGATCTTATACATGCTGCTCCCAGGCCAGTCTTTCTACCCAAGCACATCTTCAAAGAGCTCAAGACTCATTTTGATGTGCGCATGTTGTAACTGATGAGTGATCAGAGCGACCCACAACTTACCTGCATGGTATTATAATTCTCTTTGTAATTTCTGCTCGTTTCATTCCTTGTCTCAATTATAATTTTATAATGACAAAACACATTTCTTTCTGACTGTATATTACTCAAACGTATTTCTTTTTCCTGTTCTTTTACTTGCACCATACTGAGTCCAAGAAAAGTGAAATACTGATATTTATGTTATTTTTTTTTTACAGAACTCGATATGATTCAGGGATCCCTTTATTGGTTTATTTATAATACTGAAAACCTTATACCTTAAAGAACAGCCTGTCTCAGGTCTGCAGTTGATATTGTCGACACTATAACATGTTTACTTTGTAGTATTAGATAAGAACGGACAATATTTCAAGTGTTTTTTTTACTTCCTTAATATTGCATTATGGTAAAACGGCCTGGCCAAAACCATGCAACTTAAAAAAGTAACTGTAGTAAATGTGAAAAGAAAAAGAAGCAATTCAAATAATGGCGCCTCAGGCCACAACAATAGATAAGTACACAATACACACTTTAATCAAAATCTTCTGTCATTTTTTCAATTATCTGTTATATTCCAGGAAATCATGGATAATCCTATATCACCTTATCAGACCAAAATTGTCGATTAAGGAAAAATATGATTATAAATTACTCAACTCAGTTTGCAGCTTACTATCAGCATTAATCAATAACCGGACTTTAAGCGAGCATGAACCACAAGGAAGAACAACGGATGCTGGTAGAGATTTTGTCGTTTGCAAAAAAAATTCATTCCCGTTTTTCATCAATGGATATCCCATATCTGCCAACTCGGAAGGATCGATTACGAAGTAATCACCACACCTGCAGTAGTACGAAAGCTCGAAAAAATCGCCAGTATCTTCGATTGACAGATCCTCTAATCTGATATCTTCAGCAGTTGCAGAATCCTGCCTCAAAGATCGCAGATCGTTATCATAGAGTGCACGAGATTTTGAATCTCCAAGGATTTCCCAAGCCCTCTGTACCTCTATAAACCTACTGCCCGACTCGTTTGCAATTGATGTTTCACGTGTCATTTGCATTTTATCTGGATGGAAACTCAGAATGGCAGTTCGGTAGCATGTGCGAATTTCTTCAAAGCTAGCATCTTCCTTCACATCGAGGATCTCATAATGAGTTTTGTGGGTTAAATTTCCACTCTGGATCATGATTGGACACTGCACGTTTCAAAAGATTCATTACAAGAGCATCAAATGTATATCAGGTTACAAGTTTGGCTACGCTTAATATGTTTTCTAATAGGTAAATAAGTAAGTTTTAAAAGAAATAATTCCTTTATTGATCAAAGGTGTTAAGAAATTATTTATATGGACACTAAGATAAGAGTAACTTTGAGAAAAAAAAATAACCTTCTCATTAATAGTAGCTTTCTTGTAAGCTTAAACTAGCGTTCTAAGAAAAACTAAATGCAAAGTTGAAGGCCAAATAGGGAGAAAATCACTGCACCAAATATTGATAAAAATAATTCCCAAATTCTGCAATTAGCCCTTGTTTGGCTACTATTATAAAATGGTTCGGTTGTGCTACATGTTCATCACAAATTACAGATTTGCTTACCAACAGATAATATGAATATATATATATAATTGAGTCAAAAACCAACGAAAAAAATAAAACTCTCCCACTTTCTTTTTGCCACCTCACTAATTTGTAAAAGAATCTATAAATGATGATGTACAAATAGCATTATTCAAAATTGTTTATAACTAATCAAATTGCTCATATTTTGTGGGATCCACAAGTACTACTACTCACCCCAACTCATTTCTATCTATTTATAATTTAAATATTTAACAACTATAAAACATGCTTTAGTACAAACCAAAGTTCCGAAGTATACCACCATGGATATTAGATTTTTCTTGCTGTTCTATGCAAAGGACACAATTTTGAACCAGATTACACAATCTTCATCTCCCGGTTGTGCATCTACTAGAATTTATCTATTATGTCATTTATATGCATCTTTAAATACCTTAACAATAGGCCCTAATGAATGCACTTCCGTAATGTGAAGATCAACATATGAGCATAATCATCAGACTAAGACACAAAATGGAAGAATAAACCAAAAGTTTACTGTGTTTGCAAATCCAGTCCCAAAGCCACCCAATTATCATATTTTTTTGGTAGCCACTAGTTTTTCTCCTTGTTTTTACTTGAACCATCAGAATGAAACGGGAAAGTCAGCTTGTTACCAAAATTAATGTGACTCTGAAGTTATGGATAATGAGTTGGCAGCTTTAGTCTTTAGAGTCACTCTGACTAAAGGCTTACCTCAGTCTATAATAATATTTTGATTTTAAGATCCATAGTTCCAATGAAACTGGAAACAAGCCAAAGAAACAACAGATCTCCTCAAAGTTGGCTTTCATTTAATTCCTTAAAAAAGTAATTTTTCTAAAATCATACAATGGGCCAATATTGAATCAAGTTTGCAACAATTTGTAACCAATAGGCTAACTAAATACTAAGTTTTGTCACGAGCTAAATAGAAGAACAAGAAACTTTAAAGTCCGTATGAGCAAGCATCTCAGATTTCCATCTTTTTTGTTCTTATCATTTAAATATTTTCAATAGCTTTTGCCAAGTAACTTGTGGCTCCCACTTCAAATCTTGGCTTTCGTTTTCCTTTTGATGGACCTAGAGGAGGAGGTACATGTCAAATGTCGGCTTGAGACCATGCTAGCTTATATGCATATGGAGAAACAAATCGAAGCATTACAATAAGCTATCATCAAAACATTTTCATTTCATAGGAATAAATAGCATCCATCAGTGGTTAGCAACAGTACCAAGCAGGCTCACAACACAGTTATTATACACAAGAAAAGTAAACACTCTTCTTTTATATTTTATATTTTTCATTGTTAAATAACTTTACACCATTTAGAATAACAGTGAAACCACATAATATTGCGTAGAAACAGACTATCGGATAAACAACCAGAACCCCCATTTCCTCTCAATTATAACTTCATCTGAGGGTGCATGTATATATCAATAAGATGTGAAGAAACAATCCAACCCATAATACAACTAGAAGCTTCCACCATTCCAATAAGATGTAGACTGAACAAAATCACCCCACCAGTTATAGTAAATATATGCAATATCAATCCGCCAAAGAATATTTGAGCCCAAACAAGTAAAAGGTCGGATAAAAGATGATTGGACATACCGTATGGAATGACCCTCGGAAGACACATTATCACAAATTGCACAACCACGAAATTGTTCATATTTGATGAATTCTGATTTCCTAAATTGTATACATCTAAAACTTCTATGCCATAACCCAGATAGCCCAATAAGAAAAAAATAAAAAAAAAGTTCTAACCTCTTAAACAACTTAAAGGTGCCAGAGTTCATAAATTTTCTATTAACCTTTTTAAAGAATTGAAATTAGTGTTGGAATAAAGGGTTGCCCACAAAACGTAGTACAAAATAAACAAAAATTAGAAGATCATTATGACTTTCACAGAAGCATAAATAGAGAAATCAAGAAAACTTTTCAGTTGAATTTCAAAATTTAAAAATTAACCTTCTGCGTTTTGCGAGAGCCAGCCGACGGGACCGTATTTTTTGCTTTCTGAAATCGAGCAAAGACGGGTCAGGCTTGTCTCTGTTTCCTCATTCTACATTACAATTGAGTCCGGTATTTTTGATTAAAAATTCGAATTATAGGAAATTTTCTCTAACTCACTTTTGGCACTTGAGTCCCCCGTTCATTTCTTTCTTGACATTCAGGTCCCCAAACTTAAATAGTCACATGCCATGCACAAGATGTCTTCTTCCGAGGGCCATTTTAGTCAATCACTTTTATTTCTTAAAAACTAATCGAAACGAAAGAAATTAAGAGCCTATTTGAGCCCCATTTTTTTCGTCCAAAATACATTTTAAAATAGTATTTTGATGGAGAATGTGTAGTTAAAAATGAGAAATTTTTTTGATTTGCGTGTAATATTATTTTATTGAAAAATGTGTGGATGAAAATTAAATAGAGAAAAATGTATTTTAAAATTAAAGGGACCAAACAAGGATTAAAAATGAAACAATCCTTCTTTTTTCCAACGTGTTATAAAAAATTTAATATTATAACTTAAACGATTAATATAATTTTCTAATACGTTTCAAACTTCAAGAACATTTTTTTTTATTTTTGAGAGATGCTTCACGTACAGGAAAGATTCAACGGGAAAACTCACAGGACACTCACACGTGTTGGTCATGCACATTTTTTTTAATACATGGTGTGTCCCACCATGTGAGTATTCTGGTAAGCCCCTGTGAAATCTTTCCTATACTTGAAGATTAATTGTTTTTTTTTAGAATTCAATATGAATGGATTATGTACAATTAAACAAACGATTAGATGTGCAAACCTGAATGAATCTGTTTTCATAAAAGAAAAGTGAATTCCAGCTTTTAGATGTTTTTAACAAAGTTAAATAATATTCATGCTACCTCTTGATATTTGTATAGAAAAATAAGAAACATTCAAGATTCTCTAAAATGGCAACTCCTAACATTTGTAGCCAAACCATCCAAGCCTCAGTGCTTTCTTACATATTAGTTTCATTAGTTTTCAGTTTTTCACCTCCAAAGATTGTAAATTTGTAGAATGGAATGACCATAATGTGTTCATGTAGCATTGATAGTTATAAAATTAGATCGAACATAAACACTTAGCCTATCTGGTTATTAGTCGGGTTGCGTTTAATAGGTATCCATCGCATCCTTACAGATTGTTTATAAACATTACAAATATCAGTACTGGACATTCCAATTCAAAGCCATGAAAGTGGTTTCATATTACAATCATGAACAAAAATGATTATGCATGTTTCAACTGTTTCTTTTCAACCCACTATCCTCGGCGCTTAACTTTACTATTCAAAGCCATCAGCACCAAATTTACCATCATGTAATACAAAAAGAATAAAATAAAATCCAAATGCTCAATTGCCTACAAGCGACAACAGAATGAGAGGAAGTAGTAAATGATACTCTACTCAACTCTTGAGAATTGCACGAATAGAGATCCTAATACACTTCACATCATCCAAGTTATAAACTTGCCATGATATATCAGAGTTATAACTTGCCATCAAGACTTTCAGCCTTGCTGCCTAGTTGTTGGTGAATATAAGTCACACACTGACCACGCCAGACACCCATGGAACGATCAATGGTGCATTCGGGTGTGCATGTCTATATGATTCCGAATACCTGTCCTTAAAACTCAATTTCGGTTTCTCATCCTGCATTTGACAACAAAAGCAAGAAAAATTGTTAGTTGTAAAAACCAATGACCGACGCGTATCCGTTTTCAGGGAAATCTAGTTCCAAACTAGCCCACTCTACTAGACTATATCAAAACTTTACTCGCAGCCGTCAAACTATACGGGCGCAGGAACATGCCAGGGTTTGAGTTATAGGTGACCATGGGTAGCTTAGCTCTATCTCTAGTAGATTCATTTTGGGAAAATTGCACCATTACTCCAACCTTATTGTCCGAGCAGCAAGTTGATTTCCGATCTTATTGGAGTAAGTTGACATTTCACAATATTGGCACAAAAACAGTCCCAAAATCCTCGTTAAACTATCACATGGTCCTTGTGGGAACATGCATCGGTCAAAATTTATGGGCACCAGCCCAAGCTGGGAAACAAAACCTAGGTTCATAAAGTTAGATGTGTTAGGCCCCATAATTATTTTTAACAAAAATTTGGTTGGTTTCCATCATTGGGTAATTAATTGTGCAACAATAATGAAAGGTTAACTTGAGTTGACATTATTCTATTCCATGCAAAAGATTTATTTTTCATGTAGTATAACATAAATAAATAAATAAGCAAAATAAAAATCAGCTTCATGACAAGCGTGCGAATACTTACATATTTTAGCCAGCACTCTTGATTTTTGTGTTCATAAATATCTGGAGAGTAACACCCAGTCTCGGATGGGCAGTAAACCCAAATATTACATTTCATTTCACCGGGTTTGGCACCTTTAGCTTGATTCAAACATGCCATACAACATTCATATGCAGATTCTTTAGGGTGGGTAAGGCCCCATCTTACGGCAGCACCACCGTAGTCCGTATGAAGTTCAGCATGGCATTCGGGAGGGAGCTGTCTGCCAGGTAAGATTCGGCTGTCTGGATAGTTGACAAGCGTACAAGTAAAAATGTACATCAAATTTGAAGCCAACAAGTTAATAAACAAGTACAAAAATAGATAAACACAGTTAATTATTCAGATATACGTTCTATACAGAATAGATGATACAAATTATTGAAAAGTCGACTCAGAGTTGGGAAATGAATTCTGAAGTTGTTACCAAACTCCTCTTCACCCTCGGGTTTGTCATCATGTTCCTTATTAATGATTTCAAGCGGTATCCAGAGCCCCATTTCTTCTGACAAGTTGGCCCAATCAGAACTCAAAGCTCTTGCAATAACACCTACAGACACATTATAGCGATTGAAAGATGTTTAACTCCACAAACGAATAATCCTAAACACCAATTAACTTAAGGTCAAGAGGAATATTCTAAACAAGAAATATTAGTACCAGCTTCCTTGGACAAAATTGTCGTATTCAAGGTTTTCCCACGGACAAGTCCTTTTGCCTCTTTTAGTTTTTCCTTGCGCCACCTTTCAACTGCCTCTGCTCAGCAGAACATCATCAACAATGCAAGTTATGGGACAAAATATGCAGAAACATAGAATAGAGATCACAAAAAGTTATTTACACATTTCAAGATTATTATTTTTTATCCTTCTCACTATTTCATCAGTTTATTTCGTCTTAATAATTAATTTATCAAACTCTTATGTAATTGTTAATGTGTACAACGCAGTAGCACATACACTCAGAACATTATAATTTTAAATTGGTAACTAATTCAAATGGGTGACACACACTCCGCTAGCATAAAATACAAATGGAAGCACGATAAAATTTTAGAATTCTGCACTCTAGAGTCAAAGAAGACCTAGCAAGCTTGTAATTTTGATTAGCTCCAAGAGAATTATATTCTATACTTCCACATTCTTCTCAATCTATCATCTTTACTATTTCTTCCTCCTCATTTAATCACGATTGTTTAGTTCTGTTTGTAAAATTTACAAACAGAAACTGAAATCGTATCGGTTTTTTGTAAAATGTTACAAACAAATATACTGTTTATACAATCTCCCTTATGCTCCTATTATTTTTTAGCATAGCTGCACTATATCAGGAAAATGATGATAGAATGCATAACCTAACGAAACAATAACCTTACACTATCAAACTGCCAGAATTAATGTTGAATGAGTTTCGCTTCCATGCCAGTTTAAAGCTAAAATTCAATAATTATTTTTGAAAGGCTAACATAGAAAAGTTCCAAAGTTTCTCAGAATGAATGATGTGTGAAACTAGTTTTATTTTCTCTAGGAATTGACTAATGATCCACCTGAAACAAAATACTAGATGGCTAAAACCTGCTAGTTAAGGTAGGAATATCTAGCTGTTAATAAAAAGCTTGTAAGAAAACTTTTCTCATTAACTAAACGGTCTTGATGGATATGTCTTATCAGAGACACTGGTGAACTAAAGTATCATCATTGGTGGAATTTGTTGTGTAAATAGTAAACGCAATATTAGATCTAAAAGTAAAAGATGAAGTGGAAGAGTTATGAAATCCTCACCAAGTACAAGATCAATAAAGAAGAAATAAGACTGGTTATAGCAAGATTGCAAGCATAGGACGAACAAAAATGAATTTCATCGCTTTTGAGTATCTAGTGGCTGATTTCAAATTCATGCAAGACGTGAAATCAAGCTGTAGAGTTCAAAGTGCATTGCAAGAGATGTGTGGGATCATAAAGAGGCTTAGCGAAAATAGTATTGGACTAAAGGATCCTTATCAAAATAGCATTGGGTTATAAAATAATGATTAAAAAAAGATTGTATTGGATTGAAATTAAACAGCCACTTTGTATTCTGACTCCTACGTACTTTCCTGATATCCTCATCTTTACACTGAAAAACAGTTGTTAAGCAAACATCCAGTATTTCGTCAACTAATCAGGAAGGAAGTTTTGTTTGGCTGCGAAGTGGCAGTTATAACTGAAGGAAAACAATGATTCTTTTTCTCACGTCCGGAATTTCATTTCACTGGTTAGGCAGAGAGGTTGGATTTTGTGAATCGTGAGTTCCTTGAAACTTAACAGTTTTTATACTGAACAAAAACATCAATTGAGTGCCACAAATCATCATTCACTAACAAGTCAGGTGAGGGTCAAATGTACATATGAGATCATATGGGAACAAATATCTGAACGACAACAAAGGATGAAAAAGCTGATGAAGCGTACATACAATGAAACTATTAAAAAATAATAGTATTGAAACTATTTTTTTTCTTTGAGAAGTATGAAACCAGGCAGTAACAATGAATTATATTGCGTGCCTTTTTATTTCAGTAAAGCCGTCTCTGAAGCCAGATTCAATGCATATAATCACAATTATGTACCTACTTATAAAAAGCTTACTAGCAAATATGTTAAACAACAGAAAGATCGCAATAATTCAACCTCATGCACATTTCCACCCAAGTGGAAAAATAAGGGATAATTGCAACGGCGGTACCAAACCTTTCATTTAGTAGCAGACTTTTCCTAAACCTTTCATTTGTGCCACCTCGATACCAAATCTTTCATTTTTGCCACCAATAGTACCAAACATTTCAAAATGTCTGCAGCTGAAGTCCAAATGGATGATTTCTGTTAGTTTGATCGTTAGTTGACCAAATAATTGACTTTGACAATAATGTTGATTGATTTTAAAAAATTAAAATGGCAATTTTACATTTTTTAATAATAAAATAACCATAATCAAATAATTAAAATTAAAAACTCATTTCATCATCTTCTCCATCCATCCATCCCACCCCCACCCCAAATCTGCAAATTTGGGAAATCAACCTTTTTGAATCATCAAACCCATGGCATCAGAAACCTATTGCCAAACTATGTAGATCTACATAGGCCGGATTAGAGATTTGGACCTTAACAACGGAAGAAGAGAAGAAGAGATAAGAGATTGAAAAGGGTTTAGGGATTTTTTGTATGACGTCTAAGTTTCTAGTAAGGTCCATTTCTTACTGCTAACGCCTGTGTGTGGTTGGATTGTGATCATTAGCACGGTGGAGGTGGGTTGGTTTTGGTTCGTTTGGTTGGGGTTGGATGAGGGGAGGCGGGGGTGGGAAGAGGATGAATTGTTTCAGATGAAGTTTTGAGTTTCTGATTCCATGGTCAATCAAGATGAAATTTTAGGCTAAATGCACAGGCAGAGTGCTTTAGAGTCACTGCCATTGCAACAGAGCGCACATTGGGATCTGGGGACTCCATTCTCGAGCTTGCTGAAGCATTCTCGAAGTTCCAAATCCAAATTTGCAGATTTGGGGTGGGGTGGGGTGGGGTGGGGTGGATTTTTAATTTTAATTATTTGATTTTGATTATTTTATTATTAAAAAATGTAAAATTACCATTTTAACATTTTAAAACCAATTAACATTATTGTCAAAGTCAACATTATTTGGTAAACTAACGGTCAAACTAACAGAAACCATCCATTTGGACTTCATCTGCGGACATTTTGAAAGGTTTGGTACCGTTGGTGGCAAAAATGAAAAGTTTGGTACCGTTGGTGCCACAAATGAAAGGTTTGGATAAAGTTTGCTACTAAATGAAAGATTTGGTACCGTTGCTGCAATTATCCCTTATTATAATTTGAACTATATGACGAGTGCAAGGTTTCACCCAATACATAAGGCAAACACATGAATCTTGTCAATATCATTCAAAAAGTTTTAAGCCACAGGTTTCTTTAACCGTAGTTGGCACCTCAAATTGCATTTACATTCCATGCTCGTAGCCAAACACCTATATAGCGTTGTGCAGGCATTTTATGATTAAAAGCTTGTTTGAATCCCATTTTTAACCAAAAATGCATTTTAAAACAGTGATTTGATGGAGAGTGTGTGATTAAAAAATAAGGAAAAGTTTTTGGTTTGCATGTAATATTATTTTATTGAAGATTGTGTGGTTGAAAATAAGAGAGAGAACAATGTATTTTAAAAAAAAAGGGAAACAAACACACACTAAATATTTATTATTGAGCATTAAGAGTCAAATATAAGATGCAAAGAAAAAAAAATCACTTTTCCCACACTCGGTAAAGTAAATATTCAGAAAATCTTGGAAAAGAATTTTATATCCAAACATAGCAAAGATGAATCTCCCTACATTAGTATGTCTAAACTTACCATAGAACACATAATCACATTGAAATAGAAAGAGTTAAGCACAAGAATTGAGGTTTCAACTTTAATTGGTATAAATCGGCAATGTAGGTCAGCAAACAGAAATAACAAAGAATAATATTATTTATCATTATATCGATGAAACATCGGTGATGTGGCAACATAGGTGGAATAATAGGTTCAATCCCCCTCTCTCTTATGAAATTTGACCTATCATATCTCATTATTCTACATATGTTGACACATCGTCAATTTTTTATCTTTATAGTGGTAAATAGTATTACTCAATAGCAAATCATAAAATCGACTGAATACAAATCAACAATGTAAGCCAGCAAACCTAAAAAATAGAAAATCATAAAATCAACTAATAATTATGGAAATCATAATTGTACACACCTCGTTTCTGAGTTGCATTGGCACCGGCATCCAAGCCTCTTAACTGAGCAAGAATCTCATCTATCAACTTTTGTTTCGAGTGCTGTGGCAACTCCACTACCTTGTCTTCCCTTAAAAAATCCTTCTTTAATTGTTTCACCTTGGAGTACAGACAAATATCCCCCATCAAAAATAACAACCAAAGATTCAATACATTACATCAATTGGAAATCTACTTTAAAAGCAATCAAAAAACAAAACTTTTTCCAAAACCAATGGATTCTTACCAATTTAATGAGCTCTTTAGGTTCCGATGCTTTTCGTATTTGAATCGACTCTTCCATTTTCCTAATCTGATCTGGGGTGTACCTAAATGCTGTAAAACAAATACCCATTACAAAAATAGAAACGATTACTTTATGGGTCATAAAAAACACAAATTACACTAAGCGATTGTCAAGAAAATTCACTGAAATTTCATAAACCAATGGTTAAACACTTACAAATTTCAAAAAAATTCAAATTTTAACAAAGGGGCCATAAAAGAATCACAAAAATAAATTAGCACTTACTAGTTCGTGAATCAATGTAGGGATACATGTAAAGAGAATTGTAAAGATTCTGGATCGCATATAGGACAACAGCAATGTTAATTAAACAAACAACGAAAGTTGTTCTCTTGTATGAACACCATATCCCTCTCCCACTATACACAAACTCTCCTCTCGCCATCTCCTTCTCTTTCTCTCCTTCAACTTCTCCTCCATCCCATCGTAACTTTCTATCTATAATCTATGTACGTATATATTTCCCTATAATAGATATCCCTCAGTGTTCTTGAGAGAAAAAAAAAAGGGGGTAATCTGGAAACTGGTAACTGGAGATTTTTGTTTGGCTTCGATTGGATCAAACGGATCTATCGTATCAATGGAATCCCTTTTCTTATTTCTAGGATTTCTCTCTCACTAAACGATGTATCAGAGTGAAGTTGTGTTGCTGTTACGGTAATTGTTAGTACCACTTTTAGGTAGGAATTTAATTATTCCTCCTAATCTTGATCGTGAATAGTAGTAATCAGGTAGGTATTTGATTGATATGTGGATTTGCTAAAGTGCGCTGGAAGGTTAGGATTGGTGGGCTGGAGCTTTTGGAATGTTTTGCCGAATTTGCTATGCTTGTTGTGCTCGCCTAAGTCATAGTTTGGCACAGCTAAAAAATCTAATAAAAATTTAAGTTAAGGTTAATAATTATTAAACACATTTTACAATCCTCACAATTTTCAATCATACATTACATCGAATTTTATCGAAATCTACGAAAAGTCTAATTTTAATCCCTGCTGAAACTTATGAATAAACGAAATTTACGATCTTACTTCATCAGATTCAAGAATGGTGGATCAGGACCTCCATAGGGATTCAATTCTACTATAGTGTAAAACCTAGCAAATTTCTGTGCGAATATTTGTGTTTTTCACACAAATACCAACTTCTTGAATGTTTATTCACTAAAATAGGTTCGATCTCCTTAGCCTTTCGTAATAGTACAATTAATGTATTTGTCATTCGGAATCGTTACTCTTACTCATAAATTTGGTACACTTATTTGATAAATAATCGTGACATTTAGTATGCATTTTACTAAAATTATAGGAGTGTTTGTTATAACCCGTTGAGATTCATAAAATATTGATCGTTAGATTGACTTAAATTAAAAATCACGATTATTTGTCAAATAAGTGTATCAAATTTATGAGTATGGGGAATGGTCTCGTTTATTATTTACTTATCATCTTTTTAAGTATTTTAACTACATATTTATTATAATTTATAGCACGGACATTTCTGTTAAATATCTATTAAAAATTAACAAATATATCGTTAAAAATGCTCTAACGTACCAACACACTTTTAGTTACAAAATTACATTAACATTCTATATAAACATTCCGACCTTTTGAGTCTCTTTTTTGGCAAAAAAAAAAAAAAAAATGCATTTTACAATAATGTTATGATAGAGAATGTATGGTTAAANATGCATTTTACAATAATGTTATGATAGAGAATGTATGGTTAAAAAATAAAAAAAAAAATTGGGTTTACGTATAATATTATTTTATTGAAAAATGTTATAGTTGTAATGAAGTCAAATCACTGTTTAAAAATACATTTTGATAGAAAAAATGGGGTTCAAACAAATGCTCTATAACGGTAAGCATATTCTTTAAAAGTAATTTATCATTATTTGAAATTGAATTACTTGAAGTTTTATTTAATAAAAGGTTGAACCCCACCCCTCCCCTCCCATAGAGCATTGTGGAGGAGGTAAATCGCGGGATGTGCCTCAACAGATCAGGGTACAAGAACTGTCATACTGGAGTCCACAAAGAGTCCAATTTCATACCTTATAAGAAACAGGAATCGAACCCTCACACTGTGGCTGTCAGTTCAGTTGAGACTACCCCACTCCTGTCATT